GCTTCCAGATCGGTCTCTGGGTTATGAGCACATCCTAGAGAGATTCAGATCTCTTAGGGCACTGCATTTTGATAGCCCCGCACTCCCCGTGGACGCGCGGTTCAAGCAGAACGTCGAGGGGCGCTTTGCGTCCGAGCATCTACAAGCCCTGGCTTTAAGCCTGAACGTTCCGGGCACCGGCGGCGTATATCTCTGTCCAGTGCTGGAAGAGATCCATCTGCAAGTGGCTTTCGATAGGCTGCGGCAGTGGCTGGCACCCTATAGCTGGGAAGAAACTTTCAATTCACCAGGCCGTCTTGCATCCGGCGCTCACAAGATTCGCCTTAGTGCCTGCGGGCTTGCACATTGAATGGTTTGCCCCTCTGTCCAGACTCAGTTTACCTCGCGTCTACACGTTTATATATCGAGACACGGACAGGCACGTAGGCGGCGGGGATGGGACGGATCCATCCGCTTGTAACCAGTTTGAAGACTTTGATGTATGATTCTTGATGATGCCCCGAGATCCGGGCTATGGCACGATCTTCGTAATCGAAGTGGGTAGTTGGAAATATACCTTGCCTTTCGTGACGTTCGCAGGTCTATTCCAGAGCCGGTGATCATCGCATTCGGCATTGACGGACCGACAGGCCTTAAGGTCAATAGCAAATTCCCACGTCGTGATTGCAAGCACGTCATGAGAATCTGGGTGACATCCAAGATGCTGTACCACATCTTGATCCCCTCGTTCATTCACCATGTCTGAACCTCGCGCTCCCTCGTTCAGGTTCACGGACTTGCCGGCCGAGCTAGTCGTGTCGATTATCTTGCTTGCCCAGACAGCATGGCACAAGGAGCAATTCTCCGCACAAGCACCGTACGCTGGTGTGAAGCGATACGAGGTATCGCGACCTCCTTCGGCGTCGTCCGCCGTGCTCCCATGTTGCGACGGCTTGCGGTGGGATTTCAGCCGTCCTACTTGCATATTGTCGTCGTCCGATCTTCCTGCTGGCTTGCCGTCACCCGCCCACAGTGCTTCTCAGGTGTGCAGATGGCTCCGCGGCATACTGCTGGAGGAGAACTCGGCGATCTGGCGACTGGACAATACCCTCTACCCGTCGATCGCCCAGCGCTCTGGGGAAACCCGCACGATCCTACATGGACAGACCATTCTGGGGTACGGGGCTCTCAGCCTGGTGGCGGTCGACGTCTGCATTTGCGTTCTACGTGGTCTTTCTTCCTTCTACTCCAGTCTACAGTGGGTGAAGCTTCGGCTACCTTGGTCCGGTGATCGCTCGCTGGTGCACGAGCTGCAGCAGTTCCTGTACAACAACAGGGGCCGAGCGAATAGTCCCCTGCGTCACTTTGACCTGGAGGCTCTAGACCCAAAGCCACTTCAAGTGGGCAGGAGAGGAAATTGGCATGTGACCGCCGTTGAGAGCGAGGAGCTACAGGCCAGCCGCTTCTCTGGCACCGATATCTTTTACTATTCAAAAACTCTGAACTCTCTATGTCTTCACCACCGTCCCGACTCCGATATTGTGTTCTTTGGGGTGTCGTTATCGACCGGTCTCTCGGCGTGCGCTGCCACGATAGAGTTCTTGACAATTGACATCGGGGGACGCGTCGGGGCAGACATCGAGGGAAGCGTCGCATTTCCTAAGCTTCGCCATTTCCGACTTTGTACGGATCCGGGTTTCGCTCCGCTCCTACTGCGCTGGATGATCTTACCCTACGCGCTTGACCTGCATCTGGAGGTCATTGAGTCCTGGAGGAAGAGCTTTGTGACGAAACACGCGGGGATATACGAACTCCCCTTCTGGCCTTCAGAACATGCTCCCCCTCTCCTCTTTCTATTCAGGCAGCCACAAGACTTTGTGCAAAGCCTAGCGCAGCCGCACCGCACCACTACGATTCAACCCAACCTCGAAGCACATTATCCCGTGGCAGCCGATGATCCAGCTGAAATGCTGTGGCGGCGCTCAACATCGGTGATAGGACTAGATGTGCGCATCGATCCGTCCACGAAGTCACGCGAGCCGGCGGCGGCGCGGTTCCCAGAGCTGGTCGGCGTAACTTTCGCCGAGTCAGTAGACGAGCTCAGACCGGTCTTGGAGGACCCGGTGGCTCGCGATTGGGAAAGGAGTCGGGACCTAGAGGGCAAGACCGCGGCCAGGCGATCCCTCACCTTCAGGGACGGGCAGTTCTCTGAGCGAGAACGGGCGCGGGACTTTAATAGTCAATGTCCGAAGGCGTTGTACGACACCCTCCGATACGTACTCGCCGCGGTCCCTGGGC